AACATATTAATGTATCACAATGCCAATCTTGTTGTGGCTTAATGATAAAAGTTCAATAGTGTGAAATGTAGATCTTGACTTAATTCATAAAAAAATGTATTACAAATGGCCATTTATTGTGGTTGGATAATTGTTTGGTGAGGCCGATCACTTCAGTTTTCTATTTTGTTATGGTACATATTTAGGCCCACTAGTGAAGATCAAGAGTTTAAAACTAGTTTTTATGTAATCATATCTTGCATTGAATGTAACATTGAATGTAGTAGTTGAAGAAAAAAACGAAAAATAAAAGGGTATTTGGGTTTATCTAACATATATTTAAGGTAAAGGTTAATAGTTTCAAAAAAAAGGTAAAGGTTAAAAATGAATTAATTATATTTTTTTATAATTAGCTAATAAAAAATAAAAAATTATTTTAAATTTATCAATTATTCATTTAAAATCATTAAAATGATAATAACATTAAAAATAATATTTTGTGCTTACATTTTTTTAAAAAATTATTATAACATGGGCAATTAATGTATTTTGTACCTCAAAAACATAAATTAAAAATGTATTTATTATATTTTTTTATTAATATGATTAAAAAATAAAAATTAAAATCAATTTATCAATTGCTATATATTTAAAACATAAATTACAAATTTATTTAATGATGCCGCGTATTATATTGTTTAAATGAGTGGTTATAATAAAGCAATGCAAACTTAATGTTACTGTGATTTAGAATATGATAAATCTTATCAATAGTGACATGTGTCTAATCAAATTTAGTGTTTTTGCAATTATCTTTTCTTTATTTGGTTGTATTTAATATTAGTGGAGGTAATGGCTAAATTTTAAGAGAAGTTGCAAGTCAAGTTCAACTAGTGGGTGAGGTGATAGATAGATGGCGAATTTTAGAGAGGGTTTTGATCAAATATGTTGCTAAATTTACTAAGTATCTCATGAAGATTTGTCATGTTTTGCATAACTAGGAGTGGGCGTCTTCCTCAAGACATATAAAAGAAAAAAATATTAAAGAAGCAAGACATGACCAACTTTATATACAACTCATCAAATTCAGCTTTCTAGTTTCACAATTGCTGTTCACATAATTCACAAATCTTAGTTTTAGCACAAATTCCAATCAGATTTAGGTTAGTTCTAGTTTCTATAACAATCTATTTGTTTATTAAGTGGCTTTGAGATAAGTATCATTTCTTTAAATGTCAAATTATATGACTTTCAAGCTTTTCATTCATGTTCATGTTAATTTCAATCTTCTTTTCCTAATCATCACAATTACTTACCTTTACTCTAACTTCAAACTCATTTACTTTTTCAATTCTATAATAATTTAGTTTAATCTACCAGTAGTTCAATAGTCAAATTTGTTAGTAAATTTAGATGAACACTCATTTAGTTCGCTCATTTC